GCCCGGGGACACGCCGTGCACCGTCCAGCTCGGGGCTTTCGCGGCGGCAGCGGCGGCGGCAGCGTTAGCGGCGAGAGCGGCGTTTCCGTCAGCGCTTCTCCCTCCGGCGGGCGACGAGGAGAGGCGGCGGCGGCGGCACGGGCACACCGGTGTCTCTCGCTGGAGATTTCTTTCTGCTTTCCTCATCGGCTGACTGACTGGCTCACCCCCTCCCCGATTATTATTATTTTTCTGAGGAACGGTGACCTCTTCTCTGGGACTGGGAAAAATATTTTTTGTGAGGCAGGGTGTGTGTGTGTGTGAGGGGGGGGCGGGCGGCAGCGTCAGGGTTTGCTTCTTCTCTTCTTTCTTCTCTCCTCCCCCCTCGAAGACCGAAAAGCAAACCCCACAACTGCTCCAGCATCCTCCTTCCTCCTCTTCCTGCGCCTCCTTTCTCCAACCCCTTCGCAGTTTCGCCCTCTCCTCCGCTAATGATTGCATTATTATTATTATGCTTCCTTCCCAGGGAGGGGGTCTCGCCCCTCTCCGATCGCTCCCCAGCCCTGGTCTCCCGTGGATGCAATTTCTTAAAAATTTTGCAGCCTGGGAGTGAGTTTTCTCCCAGGCGTGTGTGAGAGGTGGCCGGAGGGGGGGTGTTGTTTTCAAGTTCATTGCCCCCACTTTTCCCGCGACCTTTTCGGACCCGATTTTGGATCCTGGGGGTGGGGCGGGGGGAAGAGGGTGTGCAGGCGTTTTGGGGGGGCGCGGCGGAGAATGGCCGCGGGGAGGGCTCCCCGGAGCCTCCCAGTCTCTTGATCAAAGCATTCCGCTATTCTGATTTATTGCCTGCTTGGTGAGTTATTTTTTTTCCCCTCTAAAGGAGACCTGTGTGTTCAGCCATTACTTTGCTCGGCGCTGCTCCCAGGCATCTCCGACCCCGGTGCGGCGGGGAGCCCCACACTTGGGCTCTGCGCCCCCCGTCCCTCCTCCCCTCTCCCCGCCCCTTCCCCCTTTTCTTTCTCCTCTCTTTCTTCCCCTCTCTCCCTTCTTTCGGCCGCCGTCTCCCCCGCGCCCTCCTCCAGGCGGAGGGAAGCCGTGATCGGGGGAGGGAGGGCTCAGTGTCAATTTTTTTTTGGTGTGCGTGTGTGTGAGTGTGTGTGGCCGCGGCCGGAGCCTGTGGCGGGCAGCAGGCAAGCGGGGGGACCCCGGCGCGGCACAGCCATGGATGGCCCGACGCGGGGCCATGGACTCCGCAAAAAGCGGCGGTCGCGGTCGCAGCGAGATCGGGAGAGGCGCTCCCGGGGCGGGCTAGGGGCCGGCGGCGGAGGGGCTGGCCGGACCCGGGCGCCCTCACTCGCCTCGTCGTCTGGCTCCGACAAGGAAGACAATGGGAAGCCCCCGTCCTCCGCCCCGTCCCGGCCCAGACCCCCGCGGAGGAAGCGGAGAGAGTCCACCTCGGCCGAAGAGGACATCATTGATGGATTTGCCATGACCAGCTTTGTCACTTTTGAAGCGCTGGAGGTAAGGGGGTCCCCCCTTCCTTTCCCCCCTTCTCCCCGGTTTCCCTTTATGCATGACCCCACTCGGCTGCGCCCGGGGTCCCCAGCTTCGCCCGCGGTGCTCAGAGCTGTCTGTCTGTCTGTCTAGGCTGAGGTCTTATTGTTGGGGGGAGTGGGGGGCGCGAGCAGACAGGCAGCAGGAGGGAATCGCAAAACCGTGCCTGGTCTCCTGGTTTGCTCGTTGTTGCTCGCCTTTCCCCTGCGCCCCCTCCGTGCACCCCCTACACAGCAGATGGGCAGAAAGAAAGGGGTTCAGGCATCACAACAATGCGCCCCCTCTCCACCGATAGCTCTGCCCCTACTCCTTCCTCCTCTCCCTCCCCAATCATGGCTTCTTGGCTAGTGGAAGTCTCTTTGCTGGGTTTGGGGCGCCTGTGGATGGTTCTGTGTGTGCTTTCTCCAGTACCGTATGTCCGTGTGTGTCTGTCTGGTGTATACCTTTCCTGGATGTCCTCCGGACCCGGAGACTGATGGGGTTTTGTCGTTTCTTTGCCAACCGCCCCCCCAACCCTACCCCGCCGGGTTTTTTTTTTTTTTTTTTTCTTTTTTTTTTTTTTTTTGGCGAAGCTGGGGAAGGGGGCGTTTTCTCCTGGATAGGAGAAAGGAGGGAGGAGGGGAGAGAAGAGGAAAGGATGGAATATCTTTCTGTATTCTGAATGAGGGTCTATTGCAGAAAGGGTTAATTATAATATTATCTATACACATACACGTATGTGTGTGTGTGTACACGAGTAATTTAGTTGAAGGACAGAAAAAGGTACACTAGGGAGCACTGGTGGAAGCAAAGAATAAAATCCTAGCTGGTTGCTGAAGGGCTTGTCACCAATTGTCCCTTTCCTTTTTTTGTGTGTGTGTGTTTTACTCCTTCCTAAGTGGCTTTGTGTGTGTGTGTGTGTGTGTGTGTGTGTGTGTGTCTTTATTCCTTAGGCACCTGCAGGCAGTGTTCATTTTCAAATGCACATTTTCCTGCTGGCTAAGAGGCTCCTGGGGAGGGGGGGTTTGTTGGGAATGGGGAGCTTCAGGAAGACTGTCCAGGGGTCACTGGAAAGTATCTTTGCCTGGACTGTTCTGATTTGGTGCTAGGATTGGTCATTGGCCTCTATAAATTTAACCGCCTTCTTTCCTCCCTCACCTCCCACTACCTCCCTATCCCCACCCCCAATACACACCCTGCACACGGAAGGCTTTAGGTTTTGTAGAGTTCGTCCAGCTTTCTTAAGCACAAAACTAAGATGTGAGTTGCTTTTTAGCTTTTTATGCACCTGATGTGATGGTTTGGGGTTCCTGAAGGAAACTTTTTCCTTTCCTTTTGGTGTTTTTTTGCTCTCATTGTGGTATTGTTTCAGATGTGCACATGCAAGCTTTGTTAATGAAAGCTTAAATCTCATATACACTAACTGTGCAGGTTTAGATTGCTGGTTCTGTATGTTTGAATGTCAAGTTTAAGTATTTTTCAAAAGGCATTTTTCCTGTCAGTGTTCTTTTCTGTGAACTACTTTTGGTTGGAGTTATGGTGCTGGTTGTTGCCAGTAGTTGGGAGAAAAGGAGGGTGATGGTATTTATTGGTGGTGACCATAGATTTTGGTGTTAGTGACTGAATCAGTTACCCTTTGGTTCTAGAACTGTTGCTGAATTGGCTAAAATATTTGTGTTGAGGCTTGCCACTTAGGGTAATTCTAAGTGTAGCTTTCACTTCGCAAAGGTGAGTGGGAACTGTAAGGTGTAACCTGTTTCTCTGTCTTGCTTTACAGTAGGAATTGAACCTGCAGCACATATCCTAAGCATTTGGTTCATCATTGCTTAGGAAGGTACTTACTTGTAAGAGCTGGTTACAAGTGGTTCTGCTTTTTGCATGGTTATTCTGCACCTCTGCGTGGCCCATCTGGATTTCCATGATCATTTTCAAAGGTTGCATAGAGAGGGATCATATACATTTGTCTCTGATTGTTTTATTTGTGGTATGTAGTTGTTTGACTGGGCTGGTGATGTATCTGTATCTATGTACTATATCCATTTGGTTTTTGAGAGAAAATATGCCCATTCTAGTTTTCTTTTTAGCTTAAAAAACTTTTTTAAAGAAGACCAAGTTCAAAATGTACCATAAGTACCATTTCTTTACTTGCTGCAATTAGGTTTTCTGCTACTTATCTAGATTTAAAACCCATGTTACTTTGGTCAGCTGAATACTAAATCACCTTTCTATTTAATATCTTATACATATCTATGCATAGGTATAAAAAGCCTAATTTTTTAAAAAGTTTATTTAAAAATTTATATAAGAATGTGAACATATACAAAAATAGACCAAGCAGTAAAATAAACCCTATGTACCCAACACCAGGGTCAACTACTACCAAGTCATCTCTCATCTTGCTTCTTCTGTAGTTTTCTTCTATAGTCACCCCACCCCCTGTGTGATATGATCTCATCTATAAATATTTCTATGTGTCTCTAAATTGTAGTGTCTCAAAAAACCCCATAATGCCATTATCGCTCCTAAATACATGAACAGTTCCTTATGTCAAATATCTTCTCAGTGTTTCCTATAAAAGGCCCAACTTTCATAGGAAAGTTGTTAATAACATTTTTAGATTAAAAGCACACAGTGGGGAAAGATCATGCATATTTGTCTGGTTCTTTGGAAAAAGGTAGATATATAGGCTGCTTGTTATCACACTGAGTCCATGTCGGATGGTTAGAACATAGGTGTCTAGTGATCTCTCAAATAAAACCTTCGATGTTCCATGGTGCACAGTTTGGGAGATTTGTTGAACTACGACCGAGAAATGTGAGGGCTTATTAGAGAACAGACAACTAAACTATGAATTTAGAAATGTATGTTAAGAACATGTTTGTAAATGTTAAGAGTATTATAGATATGAAGAGTTACCCTAAATACACAGTGTGTTTTGGTGCCTTGTGTTTGGAAGTGAAAACAGTTGTCACCAAGTATCATCAAGGCCGCTGCTGGTATGATGTTGTGATAAGAAACCAGAAATACTGCCTTGAACAGCTAGGCTTATAGCTTGTGCCAGTTAAAAGCAATAGCTAACAAACTGTGGAGGAACATACTATGGGTGTGATAATGAACTCTTTGACTTCGTGGTTTGTGGGCTTCCCTTTTTAAAAAGAGGCTCCTAACTCATAGTGAAATGTGTTGATATAAGGAGTTCCAGTCTAGCTATGGTGATACCGAGGACTGAAGTAAAAGTAATAAACTTGTCTACTGAGAGCCTACATTGCATGCTGATCCTTCTTTAGTACTGTTGGAACCTTATTTAAGATGATGAAAGCTTTGAAGGTAGTTTGACAGGTCCCATACTTTAAAGCTAGTGAAACTGGCTGAGGTAGTTTCATATTCTGCCGAGACACTTGTCTTGAGTAATTGTGCCCTGAAGTTCAAGTGTGTGATTATGAAGAGTCTCATGACAGAAGATAAGAGGGTAGGTGAGGAGGCGAAAGTTGAATGTGGTGTTCTTTTCATTATGCAGTTGAGAAGTAGAATTACTATTTGGATAGGGCATTGTTTATTTATATATTCTTTGAATGACAAGATGAGAGCAAATATCCCCTGATATATCATGGCTAGTTAAAAAAAAAAACAAAAACCAGTTGCCTTTTCGCAGTCAAATTATATATGGGAATGTTGGGGTCCTAGTACTGTCAGTGTGTCCTGATGTACTAGATAATGATACCTTTCTGTTCTCCTTTGGGTTTCTATGTAGTTTGTTATTAGGAAGCATTATGAGCTTCATGAATGAAAATTTGACTTTGCAAATCCAATATTTTCCCCTTTATTCCTCTTTCGTCTGTTGGGTTCTTTGGGCATCCTCCATCAGTAAAGCTGACCAAGGAAAAAAAAGATGAAATTGGTGAAATCAGCAGACAAGAGGCTTTCTGGAGTCTTGCAGTCTTGTGAAAATGAAAGAAAACTCATTTCTGATGGGTAGAAGATCAAATCAAGAATTTTATGTGGTCCTAATGTCCTAGCCCTGCTTCAGGACATCAGTACTCTTAAGCAGGCTATACAAAATTTTATGTACTTATAATATGCTGTGTAAATAGGATCTAATTATTATAGACAAACCTTAGTTGTTTAAAAACATTAATGATGTTCCATATATCAGTCACCAGATATTATGGATTGCTTAATAAGTGCAAGATACTAGGAGTACAGAGGAGCCTAAAATATATAGAGAGCAACTTGAATTTTGCAGTTTAATTGATAAATTAAATCGAACACCTACAAAATAATTTTGAAACATATTGCAACCTGTTTTCAGAGACAGGGTAGTGAGGTAGGCAGAATTCTTAACAGAGAAAATGGGTCCTTAGAAGGATGAAGTTATTGGATAGATAGGATAGGATTGCAGGACAGGAGAGCATACTGAAGGAATATTGAGGAAGGCACAGAAATCAGTCCAGTGAGAAGATGCTCTGTGATTAGGACTTGGATTAAGGAAGGGCTTATAAAAATGCATAGTAAAGTAAAAGGAGTGTGTGTTAAGGGTCAAGAGACCTGTGCAGGCATGGGTCTTCTAAGTAGTTGTGTGACCTTTCATAGGAAGTTAGCTTTCAGAAAACATTTTCTTTATCCATTAGTGGAAAGACTTAGACTAGAGAAAAAGTTCTCAAGCTGGAAATGAACATAGCATTACAGGATACTCATAGCTTGTGTTCCAGACCAAAACAGGGTGATCTGCCCTCCAATAGGTTTTATAATTAATGATTTGGGTGAAATTAAATGAATGATTTTTTCTGTCAGAATTGAAGAACTTTATTATGTGAATATGAGTTCTGAATATCAGAGAAGGTCATGCAAGTTGCCTTATTTCTTAAGTTTATTTGGCCACAGTGCCTGATTAGTCTCAGCATTGTAACCTGTAATCCAGTTTGGGAAATACTAGACAAGATTTTAAAAAAGGAAAAATAGCTTAATTGTTTCATATTATATGTTGAAAT